GTCGATCCACCGCGGGGTGGCGAAGTTGATGGCCTCCGCGCAGTTGAAGCCGTGGTTGAAGCCGGCGTGGTAGCCGTAGGGGAACGTCACCATGAACTCCCCAGCCTCCTGGGTGATCCGACCGAACGGGACCCCGTTCTCTCTGAGGACCGTGGGCGAGATGAGCGCCACCTTGTGGCGCAGGAAGGCCTCGCAGCCGCGAGAGCTGCCCGGGAAGAGCTCCCTGGCCAGGCGCTCCAGGCGCTGGCCGTGCTCCGGGGGCACCGCGTACCAGGTTTTGGGCTCCCCGAAGTGCAGGTAGTTGATGCTGTAAAGGTCCATGTCTTCCGTGTGCCAGGCGAAGGTGGTCTTCCACATGCCAAAGTACAGGTAGGGGGTGTTGACGCCTTCGATGACGACCCCACACTCCTGCTTCAGCAGGTCCTGGATGGTCCCCAGGCGCCCAAGGTTCCAGTGCTCGGTGTTCGCGTCAAATAAGGAGCCACTGATGTCGGCGCCGTATATGGGCGCATCGTAGAGGCGGGTTTTCCAATATTTGCGCTCCAGGTCGTCAAAATCCAAGTGCGGTGGGGTCCGGTATTTGCCACTGTGGGCCAGGTGGCGGTACTCGCCCACGGTCATGGCCCTCTTCTTCCTGTGGTATTGGATGAACACGCCTGCCCGCCCCGAGGCCACCTGCTGGAGGGGGGTGGCTATTAAGATGTCGTTGATGTCCTCGTAGGTCTGCCTGGCTTTCCATTCCTTGGGCGGAATTATCTTAGCCAGGCCAGCTCGGTGGGCACCTTGGGATTCTATGGAAGCAATATATTTATCGAAATCGTTAAACTCTTCTTTGGTTGGATAAAATATCATTATGTTACAATTTGGATTCTGGGCACAATTAGCCTTAGACTTCATAGCTTCCATCAATAAGCAACAAACTCCAAAGATTTTAAGTATGTTAGATATTTGAGGATGCTAGAAAATTCTACTTTTTTCAAAAATGGGTTTGAATATTTATGAGGCAGGAGGACCCAGGAGTGGACTTTTATGCAAATTAGATGATAATGTTTATTAGCCTTGCTGATTCACCAGGAGACTGCACTCTGGCAGAAGCTTTGCCCAGGACTGAGACTCTGTGATGCTCCTCAGTTGGTTCTGTCCTCTTGAGGTCTATTGAATCATGCAGTCCTGGCTGGGGTATACCAAATGTAGTATGTCCAGATCAGTGTTTAAAGCACAACCTAAAAGAAAGAATACAGAAAGGTTAAAAATTAATGTTTGGAAAAAGTTATTGGGGAGCTACAAATAAAATACTGCCATGGGATATTATTGCACACTCAAAGAAAGGCTAAAATTTTATGACATTGACAATACAAGAGATAGCGTGGATGTGGAACAATTGGAATTTTCATACCTTAGTAGAGAGAATAGAAATCATTACATTCACTTTGGGAAATGATTTGGACAGTATCTACTAGAACGGAGCATATGCTACAATCCAACTGTTATCACATGCTAAAAAATGTGTACAGCTGTGCACTGGAAGTCATGTTCAAGAATTGCCCAGCCAGCGTGGCTCAGTGGCTGAGAGTTGACCAGGGCACCAAGAAGTCTCCAGTTTGATCCCCCATTAGGGCACATGCCAGGGTTTTGGGCTGGATCCCTGCATGGGGCATGTAGGAAGCAGCGAATGGGTGTTGATGCCTTGATGTTTCTCTCTCCCTTTCTCTCTCTCTAAAATCAATAAAAACATATATTTTAAATGTTCATAACAATATTATTTCCAATAGCCAAATATTAGAAACAACCCAATTGTCTATCACAGCAGAATGAATAAATATACTGTGGTGTATCCATACAATGGAATGGAGTGGATCACTAAAGATGAATGAAAAGTACATTAAAATATAGGAATAATTTTATAAACATAATAATGAGCAAAATTGTCCATACTCAGGATAACACCTATTCCATGATTCCATTTACACAAAGATTAAAATGTGTTAAGGTAATCTATGCTAGAAGTCAGAGTAGTGATTACCTTTGGGAAAGAGGTTGTGAGTGGGGGTCTAAAGGAGTCTCTGGAGTGATGTTAATATTCTGTCCTGAACCTAAGTGCTAGTTACACGGCCATCAGAATAGCTAATGTGATAATTCATCAAGCTATGAGGACTTTCATAAATTTCTTTGTTTATTTAGAAATTGAGTTTACGGTGAAAAGCGTCAAAGCAAAAGATATATTACATTGTATTAAAAGTAAAAGGAAGTATGATTGAAAATAAATGAACTGAACATTCAGTTGAAGAAGCTAGACAATAGGAGGAGGAAGAGTGAAGACATGACAAAGAATAAATGTTATTGATGAAAGATAATACATGCAAAGCAGAGAGATGGCCAAAACTGTTCTTTGAGGGGACTAATAAAAGCTACAAATCTGAGCATAACTGATCTTGAGAAAGAAGAGAAGATAAAAATAAGCAATACTAGTAACTGAATAGTGCACTAAGCTAGCAATATAGTAGAGACTTTCTAAAATTTCAAAGGATAATCTTAGCAATTTGACATCAAAATTTTGAAAAAAGAACAATTTTCTAGAGAGGAAATATATCCAAAATGAATCCAAGAAAAACTAGAAAGCTTGAATACTCCAGTACAAAAACCTGATTCAAAGTATGACCCCTGAAAACCTATGAGTCATGTCATTTTACAGGTGAGTCTAGTAAATTTTAAAGAAACCATTAACTTATTATGCACATTCTTTCAGAGTATTGAAAGAGTTAGAGAGCTACTCAGATAAGATAATTCTTATCTCTGATAGCAAAATCAGTAAAGGACAACAGAAAATAACACTACAGGCCATCTTTATAAGGGTAGAGGAAAGCATGCTAAATAGAATATTATCCAATCAAATATGCCGATATATTAACAACCGGGCATGTGCCCTGACCCGGAATGGAACTGTGATCTCCTGGTTCATGAGCTGACCCTCAACCACTGAGCCACACTGGCCAGGCATTAAAAAAATACTATATCATAACCAAATAGGATCTATTCCAGGAATGCAAGGATGGTTCAACATCAGAAAATATAATGATATAATTTGGAGTATTAACGAAGGAAGTGAAAAATATCATCTTGTAGGTACCAAAAAGTCGTTGATGAAATTCAACATCTGTTATTTTAAAATTCTTTATTTAGAAAACATTAAAAATTCACACAATTCAATTTACAGATAATGTATCATAGAATTGTACACTTGAAACCTATATAATTTTATCAACCAATGTCACCAATAAATTTAATTAAAAAGAAATAAAATTTCTATTAAGTAAGGTACAGGTTTCATGTAAAAAATAAATAGCGAGTACCATTCTTAATAGTGAAACAAAAGAAACATTCTCATTAAAGTTAGAAAAAATGATACATCAGCAAACGATTTCATTAATGCAATCTCGAGTGGCCCCTTAATACTGTTTGCTAATCCTCTTACGCTCTCCTAATTTCGAAGGTTTTCCATTCTCTAAATATTCTATTTCACCTTCCCCTCTCAAACTTCAGGAACGCCTTCTCCATCCTACTTAGAATCCTTTAAATGTCCTTGAAGTCACTACACGATCTGGTCCACCATTACCTTGTGACTTCACCTCTTCATCCTCCGCCCCTTGCTCTTTCAGTGCCAGCCATATTTCTGGCTGTGTCTCAAGCCCAGTACTCTCTAGCTTGATGGTCTTTGCACACAGGCAACTCTCTTACCTCCTTAGCCTCAGCTCAAATATCACTTTCTCTAGAAGTTCTCCTCTGATGGTCATTTCATGTTTTCCAAATGAAATGTGTATTGATCACCAGGGCCCTTACATGAGTTTCTCTGAAATTCTAGTCAGATCGCCCACCCTAATCCCATTATCCCCAGTCCAATCACAGTTTAATCCAATCAACTATCTGACTCTTCCAACTGAACTGCCCTCCCTTATTCTAGCAAGCAGCTTCATATCCAATGTTATAGTTCACAAAACATGGGTATTTTACCTAAATTTTTTCTTTGAGATTTATTATAAGAAAATATAGGAAAGGACTGCCATCCCTCAACAAGTCTGAAATCATATAAAAATAAAAATAATTTGTAAGTGTAATCAAATGGCTTCCTCCACAGCCAGAGCTCTAGTGACTGGAGGAATTGCTAAGAAGACAGCATATAACGGAGTAGACAACTTGGAGGGGTTGATGCCCGGCTCCCTGGTACAAGTAAAATTACCTACCCTCACCAGCGAGGAGGCTTAAACATGTCTACTCCTATCTTAAGTTGGTGCATGAAATGAGAAGAGACTTTCTAGAGATTCTGAATCCACTTGAAATTGCCCTGTAAGATTATTGGAAATGTCTGAGTTACTGGTTCTGAATAAATTCCCTGGAAGTTTGACAGAAACCATGAACAAATCTAGGTTTTTGGGGCCTAAAGGTTATACAAATGTTAGGGCCCTCTTAGGAATAGAAAGATTTATCTGGGAAAGCTGCCAGAATGGGAGGGAAAGTAGCCCAGTACAGCTAGCACAACTGTAAGGGCACAAAGCACCACGAGCACTCAGGTCTACACGAGGACCATGGTGAGGAGCTCCCAGGGAGGCGGCAACCCCTTCCCTTTAGAGATCAAAGCATTTCATCTTCCTCACCCTGAAATCTCCCCAGGAAGACTACAAATATCAGCTTGCCTACCTGCCACTGCTCAAAATAATAGAAAACCCCACATCTCCATGGTCCCTTAGAATCTTGGCGCCAGAGATCCATTCAGACAAGAGAATTCTGGGGCTAAGACCCAATCCTCCACCACCCCCAAAACTAGGGAGACCACCACAATTTCACTTCTTTGACCAAACATAAATCCTTTTTCCTTCGGGTCTGGGGTCAGGGGAAAAATAGCCAAGGAAGGGCTTGCTCTCTGTGGCCACCTGCTTGTGGCTTTTAAAAGAGCATATCAATCCCAATGTTTGCTGCTGACCTGAACGCCAATGGCAGGGCCTTTGAATGAGCAGTACTGGCTCTTGGCACCTCTGGCCTAGCTGGAGCCTCCGGCACCAAGGAGTCTGCAGAGGATGAGATAAAGACGGTCGACACAGACCTCTCCTTTTCCAACTTTAACGTCAAAGGATGAATGGAGGGGTATGGCTGGTGAAACAACCTCTAGGTCTCTATAGAACTTATTGCTAGTAAATGGAAGTGGGAGAGGGGAAGTGGATGACACTCTGGCTCATCCTTGTGGGAGTATGACAAATTCGATTAATTTAGACTCTAAAAATGGGGTGGAAATAACATCGCTCTCTTCCTAGTCCAGATACACCTGGTGAGCACTCATAGTCTTAGGGAAAGATTGTCATGAAGGAGCAGCATTGTCCAAAAATGACCCTACATGTTCACCCCAGAATGGCTGAACAAGGGGCTAGCCCAGAGCCCTTACCAGCTGGATGGGGAGTGCTCGTGTTCAGCTTCCCAGGGGGAAAATGGCTTCCTTCCCATGGCTGGAGGACTGTATCATCCAAAACAACCCAAGGTCCCCAGCTGCCTCCTAAAGTAAGGGCCTCTGGCCTTCCCAGACAACTGTAAATGGCTGGCATGACGTCTAGGCAGCTTGACTCCCCAACTTGATTTGCTGTCATCGAAACCCTATATGAAGGAAGAGCAATGGGGAAAGGGACCCCTCCACTAGAACCGAAGCTACGTCATATCCAGCATCCCTTCTGAGCCTGGGATGCCTCTCTGCAGGGATGCTGAAGAAATGGGGAGACTGTGTGCCTGGTTTTAATGTGGTCCCTGAACTCACATTGTATAACTTTGTGGTGGTATTTGTCCGAACGCCTTGTACAATTGGTGGCAGCCCCACAAGAAGTAATACAGCATGACAGATTTTTCCCCACAGAAAAGGAAAATTCGAAAGATAGGAAGGAAGCAAATAGTAAGGCTCCATCAGGGTTAGGGGTTTCCAAGCAAGTATACCTCAGGGAGAGGGACAAAGCCATTGATGGACTGGGTGGAGGGACAAGAGAATGATTATAATGATGGGCCATTAAATCTATCCTGGGCAAAAAAATGAGAACAGGAGGGTGGGCACGGAGAATGAAATAGTA